TCAGTGTCCTGTGATAGCTGTTATTGTAATGACACTTGATGTTCCATGAAAGACGTCGCTCGCCCTGAGCGCCTGGGAAGACTGCTGTGTCGAGGTGGTTATTGGTAGTGATGGTGGAAGTTTTGTGGTGTCAGTAATAGTCATAGTAGCAGTAAGAGCTAAGAAAAACAAATTTCGGAAAGATGTTTGTCTTCTAGGTTTTAGCGCCATGTAGTCTGGTAGAAGTTTGCCAACGTTTCATAGGTCCTTGCTGCCTCTATCATTAGAGCGATTATTTCGGAACTTTCTCTCAAATCTGTACAATTTACACATGGACTTGAGGCTGGAATTATAGTTTTGCTACATTACAGGTAACATGCAAAAGTGGATGTAAAGTAGTAACTTTAGTTTGGTTGTAAATTTTGGACTTAAATGGAATTAGACAGACAGTCTTTGGCGAATAATTATAATGGGCTGTTTTGTCTTGAGGGACTGAAGGAAACCACGAAGCAGGGTAATAGGCAGGTTGGCCGATATCTGATCGGGTACTTCCTGAACATAATTCTTTAGTTTAGTGAGATTTGAAGTTCTCATGGCGGCGAGTAAAGATAGCTGTCTTCTGGGTTCTTGCCTTCTGCAGTCTGGTATATGTTTATAGACGTTTCAGAAGTGCTTGCTGCCTCCATCATCAAGCCGATCACCATCACCTTGTTCACAAGAACCCGCTACGTTATCGTATCCTCAGCCAACTGAATCAGTTTATACCCTTAAACCCAATTTATTCGGAAGACGCATGTCACTACTCCAAGGTGCAGGGCGTATCTTTGATAGTTCCTCATCCTGAGCCTATAACAGCAGTTCGCCGATGTTTTTCTTTTTATCTTTTACGGTCCGCAAATTATTTTTACAAAAATGTATTTTAAAAATATGTTATAAAAATTGTTACCTCAGAAAACAACTCTTTGTTGGTGTTAACGTCGTAAGCATTTGACAATACCGACCGCTGTGAGTAACTTCTACCCTAGGCCTTAATTAAGAACGTCAATCAAGAACTATGGCGCGTCATACTGATAAACATTTGGAGGGATACATTCCAATCGGAATAACAAATTAAACCTGTTACTGAATAAATGATTTAGTAAATGGAGCTTCAAATATCTCACTATGATGACCGATTTTGTTAAAAAAAAGCAATGGTTAATATGTGAACTTATAGGCGTAACTAGGTACCATTTTTTGTAATAAATTGTAAAGCCTTTTCAACAAACAGCTCTCATTTATTATCGTGCGACCGGCGTGTCGATAACAAGGGACGAATATGGTTCCAACTCTGCATAATACAGGGGACCGCTGGCGTGTAAGAATTATCGTATTTTTGTGCGACGGCGTATGATTCATATCCTTTTGTGTTGCTGCAGTTAAAGCATTACTTTCTATTTAGGCAGGTGATGTAAGCTTGTGTGACCCGTGTTTCATATCTGGCGATGAGATAGTATGTATGCTCCAACCATTTTATGTAAATATCTGCCCTACTTAAACTGTGAGGTATACAGGACTGTCTATTCAGAATAAAGCTATTTCCCCTTCTCTCAAGGTCTGTTGGCTCCACCCTATTACGTAGTCCTTAACCAATGAAATTGTTCGTACGTGTGTCCTGCGTAGTCTCCCATCACGGCATAGTTTTAAAATGTTAATATTTATCATATTGTGCAGTGTGCCAACGCGCAATTTTCAGTTCCTGCCACGTTCTTGTGAGTTGAACTGTCAGATTTTAAGAATGGATTCAATGTCATGTGCTACTAGCTGATTCTTTAGGGGTTTTTTTAATGATAGGTCTGATATTTCGGACAGAAAAGAGCCTGAAGTTTGATGAGCCATCAAGTAAATCTGTTGCTCCTACCCATTCTTAACCTCGGCACTAGATGGGGGAGAGTGGTCAGCATCACGCCCCGGCCGCTCTTTACCCCCGGGAAAGGACCCCGGTACCCATTAGACAGGAGGCTTGGTGGGCCCCAGAGCCGGTCTGGACGCAGAGGTTAAAATAAAAATCCTCTGCTTCCGTCGGGAATCGAACCCCAGTCGTCCAGCCCTGCGTCCCAAAATTTTTAATTCATTTTTCATTCCCTCCATACCCCAGATGATGAAGGCAGCACGTACCTCTGAACCGTTTGTAAACTTCTGCCAGACTGCACGGCACATTAACCCAGAAGACATCTGTCTGTAACAAAAAATTTGTATGAAAACCATGTTCTTGCGTAGGATAGGGTTTCAAGGGCGGACGCTGTTTTAGGACACTGTTTCATGTAGTCTGGAGTCTGGCCTTTCTAGGTCGGTAAATCGTCAGAGTTATGGTCCAATACAGCATTATTTTCTAATACAACTTTGTGCCTGTAACGCTGTCGAGTCAGGATTCGATCGTGGAATCTCAGTATACGAACCTACCATTGAAAATTAACGACGTAAAACCTGTTCCTAGAGCCAGCCAGCCATCCATTGAAGCAGTCAGCCACTTGCAGCTCGCCGTGTTCAGGATGCATGGAAGATTTATGAACTACAAAGTTTGCTACTAACATTTGCACTAACATCCTTCATGCCGATTTCAAAACGTTATGTCGTTCTTTAAAATCAGCAAGGCTCTGACCAACGTGTATCTGCCTCAAACTGCTGAAAGCCACTTTATTTTTATTAGAAATTGTCATGGTTTCCCTCGCTCCTAAATATGGGCAGAGTCTTTGTTGGAATCTCATAGTCAAGACATTCTTCTGTTTTATGGAGTCCGAAAATACATTAACGTGTTCACAAGACACCGCCACTGGACCCAAAATCATTTTAATAGCAGTTAAAATTTGTTCTCATTTGTCAATTTTACTTTTCTGATCAACATGGATCAATCGTTCGGCTTGTCTTAGGAACTGGCTTGCTGATTCTATAGAATGTTCCATTTGAAATCGTAACTACAACGCACAAACCCCTACAAGCACAACGTGGAATACTTGCAGCTGTTGCCACTGCCCGAAATAGGTTCGGCCATAATATCAGCTGTTTCATCGCTCGATGAGCGCTTGTCACAGCCAAAGACTTCTCGTGTCCCGAAATTTTGTTACCAGTCAGTGTATTGACTTATTCGCCACTTTCTTGTCAGGATTGTTAAATGGTTAGAAACTCCGCAAACGATTTCGATGCGATGTATGTTCGAGGCTGAATACATACAAACACGGCAAACGATTTCAATGCGATGTATGTTCGAGGCTGAATACATATTCTGCTTTTGAATATACCATGTTCGCACATGGGGTTGGACCCGCTGGTGATTTTATTTTTGAACTATTTTGAAATATTTTGTTGTTGTTGTTGAATTGCATTAGAATGGCACGCTGTATTATGCTCACGTGGGATTTTATACATTATTCTGCAGCTTGCGCAAATTCCAAGATGACGTAAATACTCAGGGGTTAAAATAATAGCCTGGGTTCGATCTTGTCCAGAACTCAGGGTTGCCCTACGAATGATTACGAACATGACAGTGACTTTCTGTTAATATGACACCGATGCTTATGAGGATAACAGTGTTTTCAAAATGGTATGCTCGAACTTTTATCTTAACTTAATAAATACACCAGTTTATATGCCATATTGTTAATGTTATATTACTGGTCGCAACTATAAATAAAAGAACTCAGTTAATCGCTAATGAGGAAGTTGATCTGAAAATAAATCCGAAGATAATTAAATAGAATCATCTGTGCTGCACTAGTATGTTCGTATCTCGTTGCTGAAATGCTGGACAGAATTTTCTTCTGTCAGTTTTAACCGAAGGGCAGACGACCCTGAAGATTCATGACGAGTAGATGGAAGAAACAATGTTAGTATTCGAAACCGGAACAAGGCTTGAGGTTTAATTAATTACGATGATGATGCTTAAATAAATTGACGTACCTTCAACCACCTTCCTTATCTGATACGTCAGAAACAAGATGACGGTATTTGGACGAGGTGGAATGGGTTCAGACTCCTGGTGCTTTACAGAGAGCTAAATATGTTAAATTGCCGGAAGGCTGACGTCATGTAACTAAAGCTCTAATAAGATAGTATTAGCCAATGCCTCTGTCTCCGTATGCGACAGAAAAAGCAAGTGGAAAGTTTTTCAAGCCATTCAGTTTGCAACGAAAATAAGAATGGAAAGTTATGGGTCTACTTCATATACTCCCGTGGATTACGCGTTTCCAAACTGCTCGTTTGCATTCTGTGGTGGTGATGCTTGTTTATTGCCGATTTTTTTTACCCTTACTACTTTTAAACTTGTATTTTAATCATGGAAAAGAGTTGCATGTACATAGGATTTGAGGTTTTCAAGGCTGTGAGTCAGAAGAAATCTGTCTTCTGAATTGTTGCGGCGTGTAGTCTGGTAGAAGTTTACCGACGTTTCACAGGTCTTTGCTGCGATGATCCCTGATGATGGAAACCAGCCATCTTCAAGTGCAAGAATGGCTCAAGGCCCAAACCGAGAACAATACGTTCTAATGAAATCAGGAAACGTATTGACTTGTGGACCAGATCCATATAAAGTCGAGGCGATTGCATGGATAAATAAGTTTTATCTCACTATTGTGCGATTATCTTGTTAAAACTTACAAACATTTCCGTTAATCTTTTACTCCAGTAGAGTACATATAGTTTCCAAATGTTTTATTTGCGAATGTCCATTCTTCGACGGCCTTTATAGTATCTGATCTCTTTGCATCTTTCATCTCATCAGTCTTGTTCTGAAGTTTTATAGAGATCCATAACTTTTTTCTTATATTTCCTAAAATATTGCAGATACCGTGACTGGTTAAAATTGTAAGTGATATCAATTAATCAACAGTGATTTCTTTCATATTGTTCACCTTTATCCTTTTACTCTATTAGGGATCGAATTCCAGTCGATCGTCCTTTAACCAGTTACTTGACTGACTTTATATTTGTTTAAAATAGAATTTATTTGCATTCTAAGTTTCATACAAATACAGAACATAGGCCTACACAATCATGTAACAAACAAAACCACTTGTTAATACATCTGTCAGTTTATATACGATATAAATTTATCATTTATAATAACACTGTTCACGACCTAGTTATGACTGCTATTTGGAACACGCTAAGTAATGGAATTAGGATTGTTTATTCTGTGGCTACCTTCTTTTGTTTTCGTTGGCTGGTCTGATCTGTTTTCCGTGAGATAACACTACTGTTTTGACTCTGTCACATCTCTTACTGTGAGTTTCATTTCGATTTATAGTGAAAATACGTGTCTTTTGTAGGTATACACCTACGAGCGGTGGTCCTGGCAAACGCTCCGTAAATCGAAGAATTTTTATACATAATCCCTCCCCAAATAGACTGTTAAAATTGTGGGCTACGTTCCTGAGAGGAATGAATTTATATAGTAATCTAGGTAATTTTGATTTTTTTAAAAAAAAATGCGATGAATGAGTGTTGCAGGCTGACGTGAGAAAGTGATTTGAACGTTAAGGTATGACATTAAATGAGTTTATGACAATAAACGAATATGTAGGGTCTACTGTTGTAAGACGAGGACCGGTATTAACAAATGTTTTTGTAGATTACGTAACGGTCTTAAATTATGGCGGCTGGAGGTTTATGGAGGATAATTAATGAAAGGAATGTAGTCATTAAGAGAGACGTTGTCGGATTCCGTAGTTTCTGAAGTTAACGAAGTTGAACTTCTTTGTAATTTAACAGCATTTCCTTTTGTTTTTCTGGGACGTTTTCGTAAAACGAACTCACTACTATGCCAAAAAATAATGTTTTTTTTAAAAACGGAAAGAGCGAATGTAACGCCCAACCGGGAATCACGAATGTTGAGGTGGGTCTGTGTTCGTAGCGGTAATGCCTCACCTTGTCCTCTTACTGCAAATAAGATAAATGTTCTTGGAATCTGTAATACAGGAATATTATGTGTTTGTCAAGTTCCGGTTGAGTAACAGAGACTCTGAAATAACAGCTTTGAAATCGTGGTCTGGAACGAAAGCAGAATAACAAGAAAAAGTAGCGAAGGGTTTACAAATTATATTCTCCAGGTTTCATTCTTACCGACAAGATGTTCGGCCATATTGTTTATACTCGTTTTTTCATAGTAATATTTTCCTCTATTATTGAAACGTCTAATTGATTGTTCGGTATTGAGGAGTGGCTCGCTACTGACCATTCTGACCAAATTGCAGCCAAATTTGTCATGCTTGGTGGGGGGATCTTACTCTGTTACAGCTCCTGGAGTCTCATTTGACCGTAGCTAGTCTGATGTTTAAACATCCAGTTAGTACCTAAAAGAAAACACGCGTCTCATTTCAAAGGTAAACCGGCTGATGATGTTTGAGGAAATAATCGATGTATATACTGACAGTCGTACGAAACCCGTGAATACATTGTGTGGGCAGAATGTGGAGTTACTGAATGTTAAAATGGGCTTTGAAGGGTCAAAGATGGAAGTGCTTTGGCGATCAGTTCGGTAGTTTTGGCGCTAATAACCGTTGCAAGAAAGCCGTTGATAGCGAAAAAGTTGATAGCGGAACCACGGTTGAATTTGACGTAAATACGTCTATACGGAAAGGAAGTTTATATATTGGCTTTATTCTAAATATTTCCTTTATACATGCTTTACAATTGAGTAAAGTTTGATTAAGACATTGCTTATTATTTAACTTGAATTAGTTACGCTTAAGATGGGTCTGTGGTAGCTGAATGTATTGTAAAGTAATGTAATGAAATGTATTTTAATGTAATGTAATGTAACGTTTCCTAGGTAACAACAATGCCGAGTAAGCAGATGACGTTTCCTAGGTAACCAATGTTACACTTTTTCGTTCCCCTTTTTCGTTTCCTTTTTTCGTTACACTTTTTTGCCGAATGACCCTTCCTTATAGACGTATTTACGTCAAAAAAAACAATCTCATTTTTAAAAATTTCTCCCGTTTCTCTTTGTCAAAACTTGTCTTGCTTACTTCCTCGTTGTAATAAGTTTGGGTGAACTCTGGTATTCGGTGAGCTGTATATGTAACTTGAAAGGTGAGATTTGGTGTTTTCACGACGTTGAAGGCGACAATGTTGTTCTTCTGAGTTGTAATGCCTTGTAATCTCGCAGATAGGTACCACTTTTTTTCCCGAAACGTTGGTATCTATCTGCGTCAAAACCCAGAACAATATCGTCAAGTGATTAATAGTTTTCCTCAGATTTTTTAAGGAACGTACCTTAAAATAGGCAGTAACCTATTTCTCTCCAGCTTTTCGAATTCAGCATTAGACGCTGTGGTCGGCCATCTCATTTCCAGTTCCTCTTGTGAGGCTTGAATTTATGCTCGTATTCTTTCCTTAAAGCATTAAATTTAAATTATTTTACGAACTCAGCGAAAATAACTGTTTTACATGAACCTGAATCAACTAATTCCGTTGAGCTGAGTTCTCATCGAGAAGCTGATAGTCATTTACCTGGTCAAGATGTTCCCCGTCTTCCATTGAACCGTAAAACAGACTGTCGTGACCTTAAACGTAAAACTTCTTTATGACCCGTGGTCTAGGCAACACGGAGTTTTCCTCCGGGGGCTTCCCCGGTTTCTCCGTGGCATCCCAACAATTACTCCATTCACACACAGAAGAAGGCAATGGCCAACCACTTCTGGATCATCTGCCAAGAACGTATATGAACAGGTCCCAGTCCGAGAAAAGGATGGAAGGATCCTGTTCATATGGACCTGTCGTCAGACAGAACACTAAATAAATATAATATAATACAACCTACCGTCTACGCTTAGGTCTTCCCTTGAGGTTTCTTGAGTTATATTTTAGTCACTTTTATAATTTTATCCTTGTTCCTCCCATCTTGTCCTCCTTGACTGTATCATCAACGAGACTTAGTTAAGAGTACGAATTATGAAGCTCCCCAGTATGCAATTTTTATCATTCTTCTGTTTTTTGCTGTCTCTTAATTTCAAATGTTCATCGCCCTGATGATGGAGGCAGTATGACCTCTGAAACGATGGTAAACGTCGACCAGACTACACGGCGCAACAACCCAGAAGACAGAAATCTTCAAACTCACCGCTGTGAAAACCTCAAATGTTTTCAAATGTCATCTTTGGCATATTATTTACAACGATCCTAAATCTGTGTTTCTCCCTTTTTTTAACTTTCAGGTTTTCGGTACCAGAGGCAAAATTTTTGAGAAGCGATGCAATATCGAATTCAGTATCACGAATTTCAAATGTTAGTGGCCACCTCCTGGCGAAGGTTTCTCGTCGTGCCCCCTCACAATTGAAATTCATGAGTCATGGCAGTAACCGTGAGAAGTTTCAGAACTCTGGGTCGATATTTCAAAAGTCCGCCGTTGTTCCGTGCT